TTAGTTGGAGACACTGTTGAAAGAATTGAGGGAATGTTAGACAGGATGCATGCATCTTTCAAGAAAGAAAGAAAAACTCCAGTTTTCTTTTTATCTCATGAGCTTTAAATTAAGTGGGCTTCCCCTTTCATCTGTGCCTGAGACATTATGTTTTACACATTGCATTACAGTACAATGTATGCATTTTCAGATAAGCACTTTGACCAGTTTATTACACCTTCTGACCTCAGCTGACGACGTACAAAAATAGTCTGTAAATAATTGAAATAATAATCTGTGTGAATATCATAAAAAATTCAATATATTTATATTTATTTTTCTGTGAATTATAAACTGTGCTCCTTTTATAGAATAATTAGAAAGTACAAAATTTGTAAGCATATTTTAAAATAAATACAACAAACAAAATTTTAAACAATTTTACTTGAAATATAATAAGCAAGGTTTATTAAATATAACTTAAATGTTACAATCTATAACCATAAATCACTTAATTTATAAATAAAAATTTAATATACTTCTAATGTATACATTTTGTGTACACTAAATGAAATATCGTTCTCAAAATTAGATACCTTTGGCTTAAAAAAATGGTTTGTATTTGTGAGACATTTTCAAAACTATGATAAAATGATTATGATTTTCTCAATACATTATAAAAATAAAATAAATATGGATTCCATTAAAAATAGAACAAGATTATGCCCCCTCCCATTCAAATAATTAATATGTAAGAGTAATGGAATTATTTTAGTCTATTCTCTTTTCCAGATTTGATCTGCTGTCATATGGTCATTCTGTGAATAAAAGTAACAAAAAATAATAATAGGTGGCCATTGAACAGTGCAAGGGTTAGGGGTGCTGACATTCTACATAATCAAAAGCTCCTATACAACTTTTGACTCACCCAAAACAATTCCTAGCACTCAGGAAGCCGAGAGGGAGGGGAAGCATGGAAGATTCCCCCTCCAAAGGCCGCCCCTGAGACTGATGTGCTCCAGCCAGGCCCCACCCCCTAATGGCAGCTTCACCCATAAACTCAGCCAAGGGTTAATCCATTGATGTGGTCAGTGCCTTCACAACCCTGTCTCCACTCTAGCCATTGCTTAATTCAGTCAAGCTGGCAATCAAGATCAACCATCACGGCTGCTGAACCCCTTCCGTACAGGTCACTCAATTCTGCCATCTGGCAGTAAGAGGTGGCAGCCATGGTGGCTCTCGTAGAACACAAAGGCTCCATGGAGGTGAGATTCTGGAAGATGGAGCTCAGCACACAATGGCCAAGGCTGCATCCCCTGCTCAAATCACCATGGATGCCAGGACACAACTCATCACCAGCACAGGAGACAAAGGCACACACAACGCCATGCTCAGAAATGGCCCCTCTCACATGCCCAGAATGAAACAGAAAGTGTCACACACTTCCGTGTTAGGGTTTAAGTTCACCCTCAAGGCATATTTGGGAGTGCAAGTAAATACCCAATGCCATGGGTCCAGGTCATCTCTGGTACCTCCCACATTGGGCCTCTAAAACCTCACCTCTCCTTACCTGCCAGGTAAATCACCATTTACCCCAGGTCTGAAAATTCCTTTCTTGTGGGACCATCTGGGATTCTCACCTTATGTATGACTCTAAGCACTGCATGTTACAGTAGAATTTCAGGTTCCCAGCTGCACTAATACACAGGCAACTCTTGTCACTGAAGAAAACTAACACAAATTTAACTTCTGAGAAAATTATTACTATCATCTCCCTTGAAATCCCAACACAACATACCAGTCCAGTTGTCTTCTTACAATTTTTTTTGTTTTTGTTTTTGTTTTTCTCTGGTACCGGGAACCGAACTCATGACCTAATGTAGGCTTTCTGTTTCCTTGGCTTTAGCAAAAGCATCTTTGTACAATTCGAAAGAAGGGGAAGCACAAAATGACAGAGAGTAAAATGGTGGCAGTGGTAGTAGAGCTAGGTATGAAAAACATAAACAGCAAATTATGGAGCTTCTCAGAAGAAAAGGAAAGGCTGCAGCAAGGAGAAGGGAGAGAAGGCAGAGCCATGAACTTCAGAATAGAGGCAAACAAGCATCCTATAGAGCAGTCCCTTCGTCCCTGCAGGCACAGAGAAAAACTGCACCTTCTTTTCCCAGTTGCATGCATGTTCTCTTCACTAACTGATCGACACAGCATGTTATGTTGGGCTCTGCTTCTGGTTCTGCTTATCCATCAGTGAACAAATGGAGAATAGATGGAGGGAGTCAAGGAAGGAAGGAAGCAAGCATTCAAGGCCAAGGATGATGGTGGTTTGTCTAAGGGTGTTTCCTTGTGTGAATAAAGAAGTGTTTCCTGTCATTGTGGAGATCACCATATGGTAAAAGAAGATACTAAGCAAGCAAACACAAAACTGTTAAAGTGCTACAAATTCTTAAAGCTGGGAGTGAGAATAGAAGAAGATGCCAGAAAGTCTCTATGAAAAGGCAGAAGGGTTAGATCCAAGTGAGGTAGGTAGACAGCATGCAGGAGGAGCACAAGATGTTGGAGAGAGAGCCACGGCAGAAGTTAAAGCAAGTGCAAAAGCCCTGACATCTGCTATATAAGTGGACAGAGGTAGTTGGAAAAAATGCACAAGCAGAGGATGAAGAGAGATGATGTTCAATAAAATATTCAGAGATCAATCCTACAGGGCTTGAAGGCCAATGCCAAACTTCTGAGGCTTCTGTTAAACACCATGGGAAGTCACTGGGAGATGTAAAGACAAGACAATTATCTATTCTTTTCAATTGACACACATTAATTGTACCTATTACTGAGACTCAGTGTGACATTTCAATATATGCATTGCTATGTGGGAAATGGATAGAGATAGTCAAAAAAGGTAATAAGCTAAATATTCTGGCCAAGGGATGATCACAGATTGAGTAAGGGTGTTTTCTTGTGTGGGAAGCTGTATGAAGTTATGATAGCAATTACTGAATGAAAGACATGTGGGAAGAGCAAGTTTGAGGGACAGAACTCTAAAGGTTACTCTGGAACACATTATATTTGAGATGCTTGTGAAAAATGCAAAACTGTGGGCAACATAGAGGTATCAAGAACATGGAACAAAGTTAGACATATGGATTTGAATAACTTAGATACAACTAAAAAGTGATATTTAAAACAATGAAAATGCATGAGATTAACAAAGAAATGTGCAGCTAGAAAAAAAAAAAAAAAAAAGCTAAGATGGAGCTTCGATAATTCCACTGATAGAGATCCACTTCTATCTAGCTAATCCCAAAGAACTCACGTAAGTGATCCATGCCACCTGCAATTACCCTAAGATGAGAAAACTGAGAGCCCACTGTTAGACAAACTGGAAACCCTACAGTTGCGTGTCTTGTGCTGTTGACAGATACACTGACAGCTCTATGAGTTTCATAGCCCAGGAAGTCTAGATCAATAAGGACAACCAGTTATTGGCTGGTTATTATGTATCATACATTAAAAGTAATGCATGCATTTTGAGTGCATTAGAAGTCACTGGGCTTTGGGGAACAGTGGCCAAACACGAGAAAAGAACAACAACAAAAGCAAGATCTACAACACTGGGGCCAGGCAGCTGCATCCCAGCAGCAAGAATCATGGACAGCAGAAAATGTCACATCCTGGATCTCTGTGTTCAGCAAGTGTAACACTGACTCTTGCCATCTCCCACTTTGATCTAAATAAGACCACAGGATTCTTTGCCTGTTCTTGGGTGGGAGAGCCCCAAGAAGATTCTAGGTTTGGGCTAGGAGGACAGAAGAGTATTTAGAGGAGATGCTATCATAAGTGTGCACAGAGCTGATAGAATAGACCTCATAGGTTTAAAATATAGTTGATATGTTAACTCAGATACAACAAAAAGTAAATTTTTCTCTTACCCTCTTCTAATCTTTTCTACTGTGTTTCCCATCCCTTCCATGGGTGGTGGAGAGGGCAAGCTCCTATCTCACAAACAGTGAGACAAAACACTTTCCTAATTATAGGGCTGACATGCATGTGGTATGGGTAAAGCCACATTAATGCAACACTACCCTTCAAGAAACCCATCAGAGAGCATGTGGGGGCCATGCCTTCTAGGCCAGTGAATCTCTTCAAATAGTCTTCTTTCTGATCAGTTTAACCTGTATATCTTCTCTTACTTATGGTCTTTATATCTCTAAACAGCTTTGGCTACTTCTTGGTGATTCATTCTATTAAGAATGTTCTGAATCTTGTCATCTATTGTTTCCAACATTGAGTTCACACCTAGAACTCCTAGACAAGATAGCAACCCACTAAATAAATCTTTTGGGACAGATGAGAAAATTGAGGCACAAAGAAAGTGACTGGCCCTAGGCACATGTTAATAAGTGACAGAATGAAATGAGGGCTAAGCTCTGTTGAACACTTCATTTGTTACAGTTGCACTAGAGTCATCCACGTTTAAGAAATCAGCCCAAGTCGAATTGATTTCTATATTAACCATGTTAATAAACTAATTATTAGTAATTTCAACCTGAGATATAAATCAGAATTACTTTTTAAAGCTACAGAAGGGGGCTAAGGATATAGCTTGGTGGTAGGGTACTTGTTTAGCATATATGAGACCCTGAGTTCAATCTCCAGCACCATAAAAAAATTTTTTTAAACCCCATAGATGCCTTTACCGTAATTCCAGTATTCTGATTCAAAATTCTGGGGAATTTTTAATGAGGAAACTCTTGGGTTAAGGTTTCATGTTTTATTTAGTATCACATCTGACAGTCTTATGGTGTACAAGGCATGTCCATTAATAAACCTGCTAAGAAATCTGTAAACCTAGGAATGAAAATAGATAATAGATAATAGATAAAAGATATTGAAGGTAAAATAGAACAGGAAAGTATGTCATAAGAGTGTAAGTCATTTGAGCAAACAAAGAATTAGGGCTCTTTCTGTAAGCAAATTACATTTTTTAAAATTTTTTTTTAATTTTTTTTCCCGTACAGGGAATCGAACACATGACCTCGCACTTGCCAGACAGGAGCTGTGCTGCTGAGCTAAATCCCCAGCCCCTCTGTAAGCAGATTATGAATCCTGCACAGAGATGGTAAAGGAGCATTTGTATACTTCATGCAGTCGGACATCTGCCTGGGTTCTGCCTGAACTGATCCAAACGTGGCTTAGGTAAACTCTTAATTTGCCTTGCTCACATCCTCATATTTTCAGAGCAATGAAAGCCAGAGGATTTCTGATTTAAAATGGCACTCATTAACAATCCTTAATGGTGATCTCCTATCTTTAAACTGAAGTTCTTATAAAGACATAGGCAGAAAAAGTTGAAAACAAAACACCATCTAAAAATTAAGACTGACAGATGACTTAAAGGAAACATTTAGAAAGAATCTTCATAAAGCTCAGGAGAGTGATTCTATTTTTACTTAAGCTGACCTCCAAGTATAAACCTGAACAGATTTAGTCATGACTCAAGTAGACAAAGAAACTGAAAGATGTAGTCCAACATCTCATCTTTTAAAACCTACAGTGAGTAGACAGCATGTGTTTTAAAAATAAGTAAGGAGGAAAGAACCAACATGAGACCTATAAAATAGCATTTCTTAATAAATTTAAGGTTATAGATTTTATTTTACAAAGACTACTTGTCTTGTTACTTTTTCATTGAGAGGACAAAATACCCAACATGCATGAGTTAAAGAAGGAAAGGTTCATTTTGGCTCACAGTTTCCCAGCGGGCTCCAAAGCAGGGCAACGTGGTAGAGAAGCATGACATAGGAGAAACAGTCCACGGCAGGGCAGGCAGAAAGCAGCAAGCGGCAACATGGAGCCCTTTTATCTCATCCAGCCTAAAAGCCTATTTGTTGGTGTCATCCACACCCACTATGGGCCTTTCCATTACCCACATCCAGAATGATGATAATCACTGGACCAATTATCACATACCTATATCCATATTTACATACCTTAGATTTAGCCACCTCCAAAAACCTCCATCTACAAGTGTATGAGGGTTTGGGAGGATATTTAAGCCACAACACCACTTTATCTGCATTCCATAAGTTTTAATATGTATTTTGGTTGTTGCTCAGTTCTAAAAACTATAACCCATATGTTTTCTGGGAATGTATTTTTCAGTTTTCAAACAGATACATTTTTAATTCTTTCTTTCTGTTGTTGATTTCTAATTAAATTGTTTTAAGAAAACAGAAAATGCTCCATATGATATTTAATCTTTGATATTTGTTGAGACTACTTGTGAGCTAGTGTGCAATCAATGTGTACTAGAAATGGTATGTTTTATCTTGTTCCTATTATTTTTGTGATTCATTTTTAGATCAATATTATTGACCTATAGCCAGTCCAGATATAACAGAAAAATTGTAAAATTTCACATTACCAAGTGTGAACAAGAAACCCAAGGGACCAGACAAACTTGATTTTAGGTTTTAGAGGGAGTATGGCCCTGCCAGAACTTTAGACTTACAGCCTTCTAAACTGAGAAAATACATTTCTGGTGTTCTAAGCCATCTGCTCTGTGGTACTTTGCTATGTGAGTCATAGAAATTTTTCACAGAGATGTTTGCAGATATTTTCAAGTAAAACCAAAGAAGAGTTTATAGAGCATCAAAATGTAGGAGAATTTAAAATAATATTTTTGAATTAAAAGTGGAATAAAGATCTAGTTGGAAACAATGAATTTTATTTTATCAAAAGTAAAACGAGTGAAATATTCAAATCCATTGGAACTCAATGCCTATGCTCAGTTCTGAAAAATCAAAAACCATTGAAGAATATTTTGCATTTCTAGATTCATAAATAAAGTATAGTATACTGAATATATGGTAAACAGTTATACTTTCTCTAATATATCTCAGGCCTTTTGCCTTAGAACTCCCTAATGTAGTAACTGTGTGCTGTGCCCTTATTAAATCTTGAATTACATAGTTAACAATTGCATGAGATATATGTGTGTAGCTAACAACACTAACTATGAAGAAGGTTAGCCAAGCTTTCCTTTCAGATATCAGGTCTTTGATTTATTTTATTTGCTTAATAATGAGACCAAGGAAGGGCTAATTACTAGTGTACAAGATTTTAGCAATCATTTTTTCAAAGGAAGAAAAAAGCCATTTGGAAATTAGAAATATCTATTATAGCAAACTGAGCAATCACATTTCTTTTTTAATAGCGCAAAATCAGACACATCATTAACCCTTATTATGGTAACATCTGAATGAGTTGACATCATTTATGTCCTTGGATTACTTAGAGTAATAAATATGTTTTTAAAAACCAGATAAATTTTTCTCAGAAAAAAAAGTACATCTGTATAAACTGCTTTTTAAGTGTTGGAATTTTTACTTTAGGTGGCTATTTTTGCAATAATAAAATATGAAAATTGTTGTCATATTTAAGATTTCAGAGACCTAACTATAGAAGATTAATAATGCTTCTATATACCAATGAGTCACAAATTGAGTAAGCTACTGAAAATTCCAAATCCAAACAGAAAAAAATTCAAATCTATCTGTGCTACATATGCATATAATGAAATAATCAATCACATTGTCTATATACATAATTGATATGCAGTGAAACTGGCAACTTAATAAGGTTGCCAATCAATAATATGTCAAATTAAGAAAAGATATCAACATTCTAATATTCTTATCACATTTTGTGTAGCCTTGTCAATGAAATTAAGGATTCATTAATTCTAAATTATTTGCATTTGCCTGAATTTAAATGCAAAATTCTAGTAGTCAATACAAATGTTGACTTATTTCTATGATTAAACATATATTAATCTTGTACAACTAGACTCTGTTTAGTTATACAAGACTAATATATGTATCACTTGTACAATATAAGAAAATGTTCACGGATTTAAGTATATACACCACACTATTCATTGACTGCCAGCCGTTATTGGAGGACCTTTAGTTAGAAGGGGTTATTGTCCCGATGGAGGTCTCCCACATAAGCCATCGGGGAACATTTTGAAATAATCTCATAAATGTGCTGTCTTCCTTGTTACCAGTTTGATAATACAATAGTTCTGTCTCCTTCTAATTCCGATTTAATCATATATGTCCCCTAACATAATGTTACATAGACTGAATCACCATTTATGCAGTGAACTTTTCAGGAGGAAAAGGTTTTCCTCTATTCTTTCAGTTGGAGTATCTGGGACAACTGAATTAAACTGACAAAAAGCAGACAGAGAGCAGAAATAGTGTACTCAGATATAAACTGGAGTTAACAAAAAGGTAGGTAGCTCACCAGTGGGTACAATTAGAAACTCATAGATCTACCGTAGTAGGAGAAAAGGAAGGGCAGAGGAAAGGCTTATGTAGGAAGAACAAATAAGTTTCTTTAGGAAAGGCAAATGTGCTAGTAGGAGAACAAAGGAAGATAGGAAAGTCTGTGATGTTTGTTCATGTGCATGAGAGCCGACTCTGCCTTTTGGGTCATGCACCTGCCCGAAAGAGTGGACTTATGGTACTTTTATCTGGGAGTCTCTACCCTGGTAATAGACTTGCCCCAAGGGAAAATTTGGGGAAGCCTCATCTCACAGAAGTTTCTGCTATTAGTCAGATTTGGGAAGCTTCTGAAAGCTTCCTTGTCCTCTGTTTATCTTCCAGTGTCTTCAGGTTAAGATAATCAAATCAACTTTGAAGTTCTGAGTGAATCCCCATAGATGTGCACAGGAATTAAAACTTAGCCATACTTATACCATGGATAAAATGTCAAGAATATGTTAAGTAAAAATCAAAATGAACTGAGAAAGTACATGTACAATATATCAACACACTACAGCATGGCTGCCTTCCCATCAGTGGACGTCACCAACAGAATCTAAATCCAGCCTTGACAAAAAGAGCTTTAACACACTGACCAACATTTGGAGGCATGACTTGAAATGATCACAGTGTATTCCCTGTGGCATCCCACTGCTGAATCAAGAGATTTAAGTTAAAACTTTAACAGGTTCTTATGAAGTTTTAGACCCTTACTCCTTTTAAGCCATCTTTTAAAAATCATTCCCCTTTCTCTTGAAACTATAAGCTCCTCAAAGCAGGTATCATAACTCATTTCTGTATCCTCCAAGTCTATCCCAATGTTCATTAACACTTAGCAGACCCTCAGTACTATTTAAAACTCATTGTCATCTGAGGTTATGTTTGCAATACCTAGAGATTATTTTCACCTGAGAAAGAGACTGACATATTTATTAAATGAGCCTGTTATTTAAAAGTCATTTGAGGGGCTGGGGATTTAGCTCAGCGGCAAAAGCGCCTGCCTCGCAAGCGCAAGGTCGTGAGTTCGGTTCCCGGTACCGGAGAAAAACCAAAAAAAAAATAAATAAATAAAAAAAAATAAATTGCCAGGTGTGGTGGTGCTCGTATGTAATCTTTGCGAGTTTGAGGCCAGCCTGGGCTACAAAGTGAGCTCAAGATTTGTC